GACATTGGAGTTAGAGGTGATGATGAAGGTGAAGGTGATGGATGGCGGTACATAACAATGCAGAGCTCACTGTGCCTGGCTCCATCTCCATGTGCCCTTCTTGGTTCCAGGCCCAGTTGTGTGGTGGTAGGAAGCACTTTGCTTTTTATCTGCCATCCCTCCTTTGCTTAATCTCCTCAATCCCCTGTAGAACAGAGCCTCGGCCATGACCTCTATTTCCAAGTGACAAAAGCAAGGTTCTTAAGGGGCCTCCTGACCTGCTGTGGCTCTTGGAATGTAGTGAGCCACCAACATGGTCTGGGGCTGTCACTTTGTCGTCTGCTGCTGATACGCCTCACCTGCTGTGGCTGAAGAAAGGACAGCCCTCCACTGGGATCTCCAGATGGCTCCTTTCATGGAGCCATTCCCTTATCTTGAAAAAAAAAATGTTAGCTACATGAAGGCATGGGAGATTTTGATGCTCTCTCGGGTGCGTGGGTCTACCTGAGGACCAAGAGGATGTGATTGCAGACTCCTGGAGGGTGTGTGAGAACAACTTCAAAAGGGAAAAAATGAAAGAGGAAGATGTGAAATACATGGGTCAGGAACTCGGTCAGGTTCTTGGCAATCAATTTAATTCAGGTGAAGGCTCTTCCCTCCGTGTGGGCATCAAGGGTGCATGTGGGATGCAGCACTCTTCATAGTGAGGGTGGCACATGGCCTCGGAAGTAGCCGAGGGGCCCTAAGGAAGTCGTCAGAGTTAACAAACACAGGGATGCCCGATCCCAAGGAATAGTACTTTTAGCATGAGGGAAGAAGCAGGGTTCTTGAACTTTGAGTTCTGGCATCTAGATAGAAGCTGCAAACCTAAGGCACTGCAAGTGAACGCAAAGGAAGGGGGTGGGGCTCTGGTGCCAACAGGATATGGCAAATGAGCCAGACTCATAGGCTCCAGACCCACCGGAGCAAGGCCTGATGTTGAGGCCTGGAGCTTAGAGCTGAGCCCTTTGTGACCAGTCTCAACAGTCCTAGAGCTGGGAATGTCCTCGAGATGGATGTGGGGAGGCCATGACTCTGTCCTTGGGTACCTGCAAGGGGGAGGGTATGTGTTCAGGAACTATTCCTGCTGAGAGCTAACAATATGCCAGGTGTGGAGTTCTCACTCCCTGCTCACTCATTTCTCTGTTTTCCCCATCTAGAAAGTCTACAGAAACTCTTGGGAACAGACCCGGGCTGGCGGCTATGACTTCCGGCTGGATGCCATCCCATTCCAGACTGCCCGGGCGTCCAGGGAGATTGCCAGTGATGTAAGACATCAGATTCTCTCTCCCTCTGTCACTCATAGGTTTGACTGCTTTCCCCAGGTCTGATGAAAAGCACAACACCAGGAACCCAAACTGAACAAGTATTTCAAGTGAAATGAAAAATCAGCCTTATTTTCTAGAATCTTAGCCAGAAGTTTCAGATTGGGGAGGGTCGTTGTCTCTCCTTAAGAGAGATACTCTTAAACATTGATGTATGTGTGTCCAGAAGTCAATTAACATGTGATTGATGTGTTGATCTACAATAAAGGGACTTCTAGCTGAAGGGGTAGCACAGAAGGATAGAGATTGAGCTTCCCCCCTAGATTGATTTTGAGTTCACATCCTGGCTTGGTCACTTAAGACTTGGCCATGTGGTATTGGGCTAGTTGCTTATATCCTCTGAACGCAGATTTCTACATCTATGAAAGAGGGATATAATTTTCATCTCCTAGGATTGATGTCGGAATTGAAACAAAATGGTTTACAGGTGTTCAAAACATGGCAGCCATTATTATGGAAGGGGAAAGCTTCATAGACTAGAGAGATCACTGATCACTCAGCGATAGCTTGCATCTGCCCACAATGAGTACAGAAATCAGGAACGAGCATTTATTTTTTTTAAAGATTTATTTATTTGTGAGAGACACACACACACAGAGAAAGAGAGAGAGACAGAGACAGAGACAGAGGGAGAAGCAGGCCCCATGCAGGGAGCCTGGATCGACGTGGGACTCGATCCAGAGTCTCCAGGATCACACCCTGGGCCAAAGGTGGCACTAAACCGCTGAGCCACCCAGGCTGCCCCAGGAATAAGCATTTAGAAACAGTTTTAGCAAGTACCCATTGTGACAACCAGGCCTGTGCCCGGTGGGCTCCTCTTGAGTAGGGCAGAGGCTAGTTTGGGGGTTGCCACTGCATATCGATCCGATGCAATAGAACCACCTATGGGACTTTGATGGATTGAAAATTTAAAAAGCAAAACAAAATGAATCTGGTCCTTCCCTATAGATGATTTGAGGAGCACTGGCCTGAGCCCCTACAAGCTAGGGAGAATCAAAGAAGAGTGGCTGCTGAGAGAAGGGGCATCTTTCTCTTCCTGTTAGGTTATTAATTACCGTTAAGCAGCATTAATACCCATAGCTGCCACTCAGTGGGCATGAACCTGTGCCAGACATGAAGCTTAGCCCCATCTCACTGAATTCTCTCCCATGGGGTGGAGGTCCATTCTCCCATTTTATCAGGTGGGGAAACTGAGGCTCAGACAGACTAAGTAACTGGCCCAAGGCCACACAGCTAGAAGGCAGCAGAGGGAGATACAGATCCCAGGTCTGCCTGAATCTGAAGCTGTGCTCTTACCTGATTGTTGAACTTCCTGCTGAGATTTCTGTGGGCTGGCCCGGGAGGGGTGGCAGGCACCCAGGACCCATCTCTGCTCCTCTAACCCGCAGTTCCGGTACAAAGAGGCCTTCCTGCGGGACCGGGGCCTACAGATTGGTTACCGCAGCATCCACGACGACCCCAGGATGAGGCATTTCCTCAGCGTCGGCAAACTCCAGAGTGACAACGAGTACAAGAAGGACTTTGCCAAGAGTCGGTCCCAGTTCCATAGCCGCCCGGACCAGCCCGGCTTCCTCCAGGCCAGGAGGAGCCAGCAGCTGGCCAGCGACGTGTGCTACCGGCAGCCCCTGCCCCAGCCCACCTGCGACCCGGAGCAGCTAGGCCTGAAGCACGCACAGAAGGCCCACCAGCTGCAGAGTGATGTGAGTGCCCCCCTCCCGCCCGGCTGAGACCCTTCCCCTGCTGCCTTGGCCATCACCCCGCTTTCCACATGACCTTCTGGGGGGAGCTGGGCTGAGATAAAATCCGGGGGACCTAACCCTGTAGGAATAGGAAGGAATAATAATTTTACTGTGGGGCAGGCTCTGTGCCAAATGCTTTTTCCAGCATTTTGCCACGTAGCTCCCACAGCAGCCCATCCCTACCCCATTTTACAGATGGGGAACCAGAGGCCTAGGGAGGTTAGGGAACTGACTCAAGATCGCCCAGAGAATAAGTGGCAGACCTCGGATACGAACCCCATTTGGTTTGATAAGAGAGCTCAGGCTCTCGAGGGCCTGCCCTACTGTTTCTGAGAGGTCTTAGCAGCTACCTGACACCATCCTTGCCCTTTCCCTGGGAGGCAGCTGAAGCCCAGAGCAGGCAAGTGACTTTCCTAAGGCCACAGAGCCAGTTGAGGTGGGAGCCCAGACGTGAACAGTCCTCCCCACCCTCCGCCCCCACGGTGGCTCCCGTTGCTTGAGTGGAAAGATGCACGGCCCAGCTCACAGCACACTGGGCCCTCCGTGCCAGGCGGCTTCTGCCTAAGAAGAATTGTTTCCCCTTGTCCTGGCTTTACTGACAACGGCATAGGCTCCATCCCACAGAGGCCACCCTGTGGCCAGACCACCCCAGACCCTGTCGACGTAGTCCTCTTGCTTCCCTCCTTCCCCTAAGGTCAAGTACAAATCAGACTTGAACCTGACCAGAGGCATTGGCTGGACACCCCCCGGCTCCTACAAAGTGGAAATGGCTCGGCGGGCGGCGGAACTGGCCAAGGCGAGGGGCCTGGGTCTCCGGGGCGCTTCGGTGAGTAGCAGGCCGCAAACCCACCCCAGCTGGTAGGGCCGTGGGGAAAGGCAAACTCAATGTTTCTTTTCAAACTTTATTTTTGGCCAAAGGTCAGCTGGCTCTAAAGAAGTGTGAAATGCAGCTGGAGCAAGGCGCCTAATTTCATGGGTCTGAGATGACCAGGCGGATGACACCCGGGTTAAACTTCCTGCAGGGCTTTCTCTGAAGTCACAGCCATTAGTTCTGCGGAGACAAACCTACCGGGGCTCCATCAATCGCGGGCCACGGCAGCCAAGGCTGTGCCGACTGCTTGCTCGTTACATCCGCAGAAAGGGTCAGGGGCTTGCTGGCTGCAGCAGTCTGGGTTTTGAACCCGACTTTGTTCAGAAGAAAGACGCCACGTCTAAATGAGAGATTGGCTTTGCTTCTTTCTCCTTCTTGCCTCCAGGATCCTTGTTCTTGGGGAGGGCGGAGGAGGGGGGAACCTTCTAAATGCTCCCGGGGCATCTGAGGCGGCTCATCCTGGGGGAGCAGGGCGGAGGCCTCATTCTGACTCAGGGAGGGATGTTTGATTTCTGCAGGGGGGGCCAGAGGCTGTGGAGCCCGCAGAGAATCAGAGGGGGGACGTGAACCCAGACGCCACCGAGATTCTGCACGTCAAAAGGAGGAAGGCTCTGCCGTTGTGAGTGAGCGGCGTCCACCCAGGATCCTTGGGAAAGAGGCTCGGGAGCAAACGTGCGTGTGCACCAGAGACGTGCTTCAGTTCGAGCGAGCTGCTCGCAGGACACCGTGCCAGCCCCTCCCCGAGCCGCCTCCCCCGAAGCGACGACCCTCAGGAAGCCACGAAGCGTGTTGTATTCTTGGCCCCCCGTCCCCCGTCTGACCCTGGAAGGGGGTGGCTGGTCCTGGGGTGTACCTTGGGTGTCTGGGATGAGGAATAAAGATGTAAAGGTCATTCCCACTGGCTCTGGTCATTCTGAAATCCCTTATCTGCAAATGTCCGAGGTGAAGGCAGTCTGTGATTTTCTAGAAGGTACCATGGTGTGAAGGGAAGCCACTGAAGGATATATTGGGTTGATTCTGGCATTTCTTGGGTTACCCACGAGGCAGCCTGATAAGGCGGTGGAAATGTTGGTCTGGGATGCCCCAGGCTGGCAGCTGTTGTCTCTGCTTAGAGCAGGGGGGGCTCCCCGGGGCTCCCAGGGTGTCCGGTGCTGCCCATGAGGACTTGCCTTGTCTGGGGGCTCGGGAGAATGGGCTCTCAGGTTCAGAAGACACCTCAGAAGCTACTCCCCTTTTGGATGGTGGCTTCGATCCAATTCAGGAATTTGGCAACTTGGGTATAGACTCCTGGCTTCTTCCCACACTCCAGGCCCCAGCTCACTATGCCGTAGACGTAGTAGGTGCCATTCTTCTCACAGGTCAGAGGACCTCCAGAGTCTCCCTGAGGGAAAAGATACATGAGTTCAGCTTGGTGAACTTGGTAAATCAGAATATATTCGGAGACACCCTCGACCTTCCATAGGAGGTGCCAGGGGTGATGGGGTGACATCGCCCCAGTGGGTTTCTCTAGAACGTGGTGGCAGGGCTCTTCCTATGCCTTCGAAGACACAAGGCTCTTAGGGGAGAGAAGAGAATGCCACCATATGCCCCTGAGTCCATGAGGGCTTGGCAGAGAAGCCGCAGGGCTGGGCCGCAGTGCCGAGGTCACGCTCCTACTTCCACCCTCTTAGTCATGACTCATAATCACACAGTAAATTCTCAGGTGCCCCAGCTTCTCATTCCTGCAGGGTCTGGGGGTAGGGGCAGTGCTCTATTTGGATAAAGCCCTCCTAGGACCTGTAGGACACACACAGGGTGGGGAAGATAAGGCTCAGGGACAGCGTGGCTGAGATGTTCAACATGCTCTATGGGGTTAGATCTCGGTTCCAACCCAGGCTGGCAGACTGTGAGCCAACTGGGCCTCAGCTTCTCACATTGTGAACTATGGAGAGCAACAGACCCCCACCCTCCACCCCCACCCCATCCTGGCTCTTGTGCAGATTCATGTTTGCAAAGTACATAGAACAGTGCCTGGTTCATATGGAGTCCAGCTGAAGTGGCAGGAGGAGGCTGGTGAGCAGGGATAGCTCTCAACACGCACCGCTGCTTACACCTGGCATCTGACAGGATTTTCAGTGAGTTAGCTCTTTGAAACTGGGCCACACCTTAGGATTCTAAGCATACATTATTCCCGTTGTATAGATTAGGCACTGGAGATTGGAGAATTCTATCAGTGTAATGAACTGAATGTGTTCCCCCAAAATCCTTATGTTGAAGCTGAATTCCCCAATATGATGCTATTGGTGGGTGGAACTTTTAGGAGGATATTAGTTAGAGTCCTCATGAATGGGATTAGTGCCCTTGTGAGAGGGACCCCAAAGATGTAGCCCCCTCTTTCCACCATGTGACAGTGAGGAGTCGGCTATCTGTAACCCAGGAGAGGGCTCCTACTGGAACCTGACCACGCTGACACCCTGATCTCAGACATCCAGCCTCCAGAAGTGACAGAAATAAATCTGTGTTGTTTAAGCCCATCTGTGGTGATTTGTTAGAGCAGCCCGAGCTGACTAAACAATTCAGTGATTGACAAAAGTCATAAAGTAGAAGAACCAGGTTTCAAACCCATGACTGTCTGTTTCCAAAGCCTGCAAACGAAGCCCTTGAAATACCTAAAGAAGAGAGTGTTGTGTTTTCTTACTCATCTTCCAGGGGTTTCAGACAAATCACACTCATCTGCTCACCACCCTCCCTTGAGTAGGTGGATATCCATGGCCTCTTGGGAAGAGACAGAGGGTCACAGTAGAGCCAAGTACCTTCTTCAAGAGTGATGGTGATTTTCCCCTCCCAAAGGGGGCTCGAGGCCGGCAGCTCATTGTTGGGTCCCTTTGTAAGGGGGGAGCTGGGGTTTAGTGTGTCCATGCTGGGGTTTCCAGGATAGTTGGTTGATTTATGAAGACGATAGGCAGAAAATTCTAAGTTTAGGTATTTCTGGGAGTCTAGGAAGGATGTCTCCTGTGAGATGTGGCCCCTATAGGGAGCTTGGTCTCGTACTTGGGGTAAAGGCTTCAGGTCACCTCAGCACCAGTAGATGAAGCCTCCACCATCTCCCTCTCCTGCAGCCTCTGAGTCACCACAGGTCCCTGTGACTTGGGGTCCCCATAAGTCCTATACTGGAGAGAATGTCAGGCAGGCCCTGACTTGGTTGTTGCTATAGAGGAGCCATTCAGCCACTTGGTATGCTAGGGCTAAATTCCCACCCTCATCTCTGTCTCTGTCTCTGTTTCTCTCTGTCTCTCTGTCTCTCTCTCACACACACACACACACACACACACACACACAAATCCTGATGATTAGTTAATATTATTGTGAGTTCTCGGGACCTATCATCTTTCTTCTTCTAGTCACTAGTCTTTTAGATAGTTCCTTATTGGGATTTTCAAACATACTGCCCAGGGATCGAGGCCAGAAGCGCCATCTTCATGTTTAAACACAATGAAGCAAATTCCTGCTCTGCCACTCATCACCCAGGTGTAGAGGCCAAGATCATTTCTCTAAGCATCTATAAAATGGTAATGACCTTTCACCTTCACCAGTGTCATGAGAATTAAATTTGACAAGGCAGGCAAAGTGACCACTACTATTACTATGCTGGGTCATCCTGGATGGATGTGGATTCCAATTAGCCAGAGGACAAGGATGCCTGCCTATGCCTTAGATTTACGGCAGGTGAGCCTCTAAACCTGCCTCCCAGCCATGGGCTCTCATCTGGCCTCTGCCCAGCGTAAGCTCCCACCCATGTCTCCTTCTCCAAGTGCCATTTGGAATCTCTGACCTGGCAGGAGTCTTGCCCAGGCTTCTGAAGGTTTCCTGCACAAATCATGCTGTCACCAATCATGTGGTCATAGAGTTGGCGGGAGTTGCACAAAGTGTTGGCAATCAGCCTGACCTTGGCATCCAGGAGCTGGCGGGATCCTTCCCCTGCGGGGTAGAGAAAAGAAGTCACCACTGTGGGGTGCTGGGCGGCACTTGCCCCATCAGAAGCTAGCTCGCATTGATAAGAAGATGGCCACAGGTCTGAACATAGAAAGTATAGAAAGTAAGGTTTGTCCAGGAGATGCGAAGAGGAGCCTCATCTTTCAAGGGTGGGGACCCTTTGCTTCCAGCCTTCACTGTGATTTTACAGACCTTCAGTGCTATGCTTATCATAGGGGAGTGGAATCATTTACTCCTTCTTTTGTCTCCCCAGCTAGACCATCAGGTCAGAAGGGCAGGGATAGTGTCTTAAATCATTTTTAATTTAATTTAATTTTCAAAAGAGTTTATTTATTTATTTGACAGAGAGCCGGAGAGCACAAGCAGGGGGAGTAGCAGAGGGAGAGGCAGAGGGAGAAGCAGGCTCCCCTGTCGACCAGGGTACCCAATGTGGGGCTCAGTCCCAGGACCCTAAGATCATGACCTGAATCAAAGGCAGATACTTAGCCAACTGAGCCACCCAGGCACCCCTCTTAAACCGTTTTTTAAATTTCCTAGCAGAGGGCTGGCTCACAGTAGATTCCTAAGGATGGATGTAGTGCCCTGGTTGCCCTTCTAGGTTACTTACTTCCCAGGGCATTGATTTCTTCCTCCGAGGATCCCCTGTTCTGCTCTGGTCAGCATGGTGATATTGAAAGGTTTAAGTGGGTGACAATGAAGATCCCTGTGAAGAAGGGTCACTGGCTAACCTTAGATCTGAGTAACCTGAAATCTTCTTTCCCAAAAGCTTCTGACAAATTTGTGTATTAAATTTCTTTTTGGGCAGCCCCGGTGGTTCAGTGGTTTAGCGCCGCCTTCAGCCCAGCGCCTGATCCTGGAGACCTGGGATCAAGTCCCACATCGGGCTCCCTGCATGGAGCCTGCTTCTCCCTCTACCCTCCCCCCCCCCCCGTGTATCTCTCATGAATAAATAAATAAAATCTTTTTTAAAAAATTTCTTTTTCTTCACGAATACAGGTCAATTTAAAGTGTTTCTTCTTTCCATTATTAAGGAGAAGATTTAGGGGGAAAAGAAATCTATTTTGAATATTTGAGAAAGACTTGAACTATGCTTCTGAATTTCCTATGTTAGAGAATATAATCTTGTCAGCACATGAGAAAATTAATTCTGTGGTTACTTTTTTAGATAAGACCACATCCTAGAGACAAATCAATAGCTTGGTTTAAGAAAATTTATAGAACGCCTACAACACGGACATCCCTGAGCAAAGCGCTCCAGGGGAGACAGATGAACGAGCACAGACCCTGCGGTCCAGGGGCTGACTTAGTCAATATCTCTGTAGAATGCTTGATAGCAATCTCCTATTATCATGATTCCAAACCTAGGAGGTAAGTGTGGTTAAGAGGAACTAAAGCTAAGCTGTCCAAGTGACAAAGCCAGGGACCTAACACAAGTCTGTCTGATGCCAGACCCATCTTCTTTAAAATCTATCCTCTTTCCAATCTACCTAGGGAAGGAGAGAGATCTTCGTGGATGCGGGATCAACGCTTGATGGAAGTCAACGTAGGAGCCAGGGACAGATATAAGGATCACGGAAGGCTCCATGGAAGTGATGAGACTCAACTAGAGCTTTAGCCATGAGGCACTCGTACTTCCTTTTAGTAATACATCTTCAGTAGAATATTGATTTCAAGTTCAGAAGGGACCTTAAGTTTGACCCCTTCTCTGGTTAATGCAACTTCCCTGAGTCTCAGGAGAATGCATGGCCAGACTCACCTGTTTCTGTCACACCCCACCCAGAGATGTGGCACTCGGTCCCAGAGGGGAAGGCACTATTGGGCAAACATACAGTCTTCACATATTTGGATTCCAGAGCACAGTGACCATCCACTGGCTTTAGCTTGAGCAGAGCTAGGTTGGGAGAGAAAGAGGAAATGAGTGATGATACCCTCTCTGTGAAAGAAGCATTAGCTTCAACTTGAACAGGGGGTGCATGTAAGCAAAGCCCCATTACCAGTGCCTAACAAAGGAATGGCTTCCTCCTCAGCCACTGCATTCTTTAACTGATGGGGAAGAGTCACACTTCAGGCTGAGAGTAATATCAAAAAATAGTAGTGGGGTTTGAAATCATTTCTAACCCATTGTTTAAAGAACAGCCTTCAAGAGGGAAAAAAAGATATTGAGAAAGGAGAGAGAGTGACAGTTCCCAGGAATGGAGAACTGGGCTACACACTGTAGGCAGCAGCTTAATGTCATTGCCTCTACACCTGAGTACATACCAGGTACCAGATGTACATGGGGACTCATGTGCATCATGTCACTTAACACATAGGAAGCTGAGCATTGTATACCAGTGTACATGTTTTATAGAAGAGGACCTGAGGCTTGGAGAAGTGAAGCCACCTGGTAAGTGAGGGAGCTGTGATTCAAGGCTGAGTTCTTTCCACAATTTAGCCTTACTAGTATCTCTTCCCCTCATTTATCCATAACACCAACACAGACCTTTAAAACTAAAAGATCTCTGCAATAAATTCTCTACCTTCTAGAGTCTGTGAGGGACCAAAAAAGAGAAGAGCACCTTCTAGAACCAAACCTCAGCTTTCCACCAGTAATGAAATCCACCCAGAACAAGACTTATGAGAGATCCCTCAAAGAAAAGACTTGCCAATATCATTGTGGGGAATCTCTTCTTTTTCATTATAGAGGCTGTACTTGAAAATCTTCTCCACCCCGAATCTCTGCTCATGGAATTCTGTCTTCTTCAGGTCCTGGTCCCCTAACACCACTGTCAGATGTCTGGCTTTTATGCTGCAAGGGAAGGTAAGATGGTCTGGTATCTGAGAGACTGAAGCTAAGCCCTGGCTCTGCTCCCCATGAGCTGGGTGACCTTGGACCTTCTGCAGCCTTGGCATCCTCATCTATAACTGTCATTTGTCTCACAGAGCTCTGTGGCTCAAATAAGAAAATGTGAGGAAACATGGTCTCCAAATGTAAGCTGCATCCCACATTTCCTAAGAGACCTCCCATTACCGCTAGGATTTGCTAAAGAGTAGTCAATTAACTTCTTGAACAACTACTCTTTGTGGAGGCTAATGTTTGCATGTTTGAGGAATCCCAGAAGAAATTGTTTAAAGACAGTGGATTGGAAGACCTTCAAAGCCACCATCAAAACTTGGGCTACAGTGGACCAGCCCCGACCATGAATTTGGGGAGTTTCAGGGAAGTGGTGGTAATTCAGGCTCCTCAGTAGATGCTGGCTTCTCTAGGCCACACAGGAGTCATAGCTGAAGTCACATGACACCAGCAGGTTCATAGTAATGACATCAGATGGGAGCATTCTATTTTTCTCTGTTCAGGGCAAGACTGGAGAAGTTAAAGAAACAGGTAAATCTGGGTTCATATCCCATTTACCTACTCACTTTCCATATGACTTTAGGTCACGGTCGTGGAAAGGTGCTAAATCCTCCCAAGACCCAGGGTCCTTGTTTATGAAATGAGAATAACAGTCAACTTTTTCACTGCACAGATATTTACTAAGCACTTGTTCTGTATGAAGACCTGCCCTAGGCATTGGGCAGGCATTGGGCAATTAATAAAAGTAAAAACCCCTGTCTTCCCTTAGCTTGTCGTCCAGTTGATAGTGATCACGATTAACTGTCATAGCACATGTAATTCCCATGGTAAGTGTTCTAGATGGTAGCTCTTTTCCATCCGGTTTTAAGAAGATACTCTTTTGCCCTTAGAGCTAGATCAGCCCCTCTTATCCTGCCAGAGTCACCAAGATGCTGCTGAGATGGGAAGAGTAGAACACCCCCAGAGACTTGAGTGTCCCTGGCCTCTGCTTTTGGCAGGCACCTACTTGGTGCAGTGGGCAGCAGTCAGCACCCAGCAGGGGTGAATCAGCGCTCCCCCGCAGAAGTGGCCCTGGGGCATGGAGACGGTCAGTGGCAATGAGGTCTGCAGGGATGCCTGCCACGGGTGCTTGCCCGCTGTGCTCTTAAAGCCTCCATAAATTCTCTTGACCTTCTTTGTCATCTCCGTCCTCCCACATGAGTCAAATCCTGGAAGCTTGGTCAGAGGCTCTGTGGGGCTTCCCTCTGGGTCAGCAATGTCTGTGGGACACAAGAAAGACAAATCATGCTACTCACTTTCATTCCAGGGCCTCAGAAGGAAGCTGTCAGAGGTATGACTCCAAGTCCAGCAGCTTAGCAAGCTTCAGAGTTGAGACGGCACTGATGCATACAAGGTGGGCATGTAGCAGGTGCAAAGTTAATATGTGTTGAATACACGATTACTATAAAGCAAGTCTATGGAATTCAATTTGAAGATGTTGCTTTTTACTTCTTATTTTAATATGTATAAAAATGTGTGTGAATATGTAAATCCATTGCGGGGTATATACTTAGCTATTCATTACTGTACACATATGTTTGGGAGGCTTTTTTGATGTATAGGGGAAGATATTCAGATGAAATAGAGTGGGGGACATAAGACATTTGCCCAAATAATTGTCATACAACGGAGAGAGTGGTAAGTGTTGCATGGATGGTGCCCATTCCATTTCATGGGGTTTGTGAGGAGGAAGAGATAACATTTCCCTTGGTATGTCATGGAGGACTTCCTGGAGGAAGGTCTGCTTGAGTTGATTTTTAAAGGATGGTTGGATATGGGCAAAATCTGACACAGGATGGAGTATTCCAGACAGAGCTGACCATGAGAACAAAGGCACAGAATCGAAAACGTCCAAGGAGGTAATCCCATTGATCAGGGTGGGAGGATGCAATGTTCTGGACACAGGTAGAGAGCTGGGCCAGACAAGCCTGCCAGGAAGATTGTGAGGCTGGAATTCTGTCCATGTTGCATCCTGAGAGACATGGAATCTTAGCCAATGTTGGCTCACCGCTGTTCACTGAAGACCTGGCATAGTGCCTGCACATAGCCAGCAACCCATACGTATTTGTTGAGTGCACTGACTGGAGGTCAGGAAACAAGAGTTTATAGTTGGATCACTGGCCTCAGTTTACAAAAGTATCCAGGCTTGCTAGGCATCCTGAAATGGGAGCAGTGGATTGGGCATTTGGGTTCTCACTAGAATGGTAATTGGTAAAACAGGTATGGTGAGTGGACAGGGGCAGAAGAGATGGGGCATCAGGAACATCTATCTATTGACCTGCAACCTAACCATTCCTGGAGCTTCTGGACAGCCATGGTCTTACCTAGGACTGAGCAAGCTGAGACATCACAGTACTCCCATTTCAACTTTGCATTGTTTGCTTTAATGAAACACCAGGGCTTTTTGTCTCCATCAGGGTTTCTAAAATGAAAACATAAAATAACCCACAGTCAAGGTTTGGTGAAGCCACCGAGCCTCATTAAAGAACCTTTGGATAAGAGAGTACCAAGTTCCTGCATTCCCCTGGGACCATGTTCCATGCCATTCTTCCAACAGGTTAAAACCCAAGCACATAAGCACAAACCCCAGCACATAAGTGTTTTTGGCAAAACTTTAACTTGCAGAGGAGAATCCCTATGACCAGAAAATAGTTAACAAGCCTTGTGCCATATCCATGAGACATAACAAATTGTTTGTAGGAAAAGAAATGAGATCCCTGTTGAAGAGTCTCCTTTGTCAGGAAAGTGAAATAGCCACAGACACATGGTGAGAGTAGGGCTTCTCTGCCTTCACCTCCAAATTCCATCCGTGGGAATTCTCTGAGGAAGTCTGCCACAATCATCACCCCGAAGACCCCTCCACAGAGGAAACAACTCAAAGTGAGTGAAGGTGGGAGATAACATGTTTTGTGCAAAGGAAATCCTCTGGCTTAATGGAATCAGTTTAAAGCCACACAAAAAAAATTCCTGCCCCTTATATGCAGATTATATGTGCCCTCATTTGTCCTTGGCTTTGGTTAGAGCAGTGAAGGAAGCCAACTGAGTAGTCTGGAAGCAGGAAGAAAGTAACTAGTCATCACCAGGGGGTAAAAATGGCATTATCCTGATGTGGGAAAACCTGAACGTCCTTGTGGCAGAGACTGCAATGCTCACTGGACATTCCATTTTATCCTCTTCATTTCTCCCTTGAAGTTATGCAGGATGGCGTGACTATTTCTGGCTAATGAAATATGTGTGCAGAGATGATGTATCCCTTCTAGGTTCAGGTAGTAAAAAAAATCATGCTCCATTTTTGAGTCTCTCCTTACCTTTCCTGGGTACTTGAGTAACTTTGTGGAGCTAAGACTCTCCCTGGCCCCCCTGGCCCCAACCTGCATGACACACGCCGCCACAGTGAAAATTAAACCCTGAGGTGTTCAAGCCACTAGGATTTGGAGGCTGTTTGTTATAGGAGCACAACCTAGCCTATTTTATGCAGGAAAGCCTTCCTAGAAAGAAAAGCGATGAGTTTCAGTGTCCCATCCCCCAGTTTCTAAGCTGGCCCAGGAACACTAGGAGCAGGGAAGGGGATAGACAAACCCTTATGCTGACTAGCACCCAAGACTGCTCATGGGGAAATAGGTACATTTTACCTGCAGAAGTTGTGCTCCCCAATCCCATGGGCCTCAGCATCTTCCATAAATATATTGTAATTCTCTTGCAAGAGGAGGTGGGAGTTCCAGTAAAGGCATGAGTGTTGGTTGACGGTCTTACTCACTTTGCCTCGGTAAGAGTAGCCATCACCAACGTAGCAGTCATCAGGACCTTGGAGAGAGCAGGCAGGGACATGGGAACTGAGAAGGACTGGCACGCTGCTCCTGAAAAGGGCCTGGCAGGTGTATCAAGTGGGAGGAGGATCAGGCCTGAATATGGATCATCCTGAGATTCCATCATGAACTCCAGAAAGAAAGTGGCTTGTATATTCCACATTCATCCCAGCTTAAAAACATGAAATGTGGCTGCATGTAGATGGAACTTAGTTCTTTAATTTTGGCTCGCACGAGGACTGGTGGCCTGTGGGTTGAGGCCTAGGGAGGGAGGCCCAGGTGTGCTTGATTTGCCTGAACCACATCCCAGTTTATGACTTCATTTACAGGGAGCCAGGCACCCCCTATGCCCTTAGGTTGGAAGGGTGAGGCAATAGTAGAGTTTGGCCATCTTGACGTGAACCCCATTTCGGGAACAAAACCCCAAAATAAAAGGATTCCAGAGGCCTCATGGTGGCCCCAAGTTTCTGTTGAAGTAGTGGTAGAGACCCATACCTATTTCACAGAATTTTCCCTTGAACTGGTCAGGGCAGGTACAGGTGAACTTGGATCTCCGCCTTTGCCGGGAGCAGGTGCCACCATTTTGGCAGGGATTTGGCCTGCACACAGGAACCGCTGTGAAAACAGGAAGTGGGGCCACCAAGGCTCTTCATAAGGAGTTGTAGCTACATCTGAGGTGATGAGGAGATATTGGTGGCACTCTTGGTGCCCGTCCTTTCACAAAAGGTGGGTTACCAAAGGAGAAAGACAGACCCACTGACATTCTAGTAAATGTACACACAAATCTTGAGAATGTAGACAAATATGGTGAGGAAATATGAGGGAAATATCCGTGCAAAAAAGATGTAAGTGGATGGGTCACTCAGTAAGGAATAAGAGGCATGGACTGGGCAGGGGCCTGGGGGCCAGTCTTAGCTAGGTTGAAACTTGGCTCTGCCCCTCCGTAGCTGTGTGACTGTAAGCAAGTTACTTAACTTCTCTGAACTCCAGTTCCTTCATCTATGAAGCTGTTCTTTGTGGTATTTTTGGAAGAATAAGAAAGAATGTAAATCTCTTGGGACAATGCCTGACTCGTAGCGGTGACTAAGTACAGATTTAATCCTCTATATGGCCCACTCCAGGAATAGACCAGGGTTCACTTCCTGGAGGAAATGAATTTCAAGATTATTCTTTTGGGATGGGGAGGGACACAGATTAGTCAGTTCCCCCTAGACTCTCTAGAGGTAATGCATTTTATTTCAAGATTTTATTTTTAGGTAATCTCTGTACCCAACGTGGGACTTGAACTCACAGCCCAGAAATCAAGAGTTGCATGCTCTACTGACTGAGCCAGCCAAGTGCCCCGGGATGATGCATTTTAAAAAGTCCTAGTCAAAAGGGACATCTTGGATGCCACTAAAACATCAGCACTATCTGGACTTCTACACAAGAAGTTGCAGACATCCCAGGCACAAGCCAGAGAGAGAAAACCTAGCATAGAAGGAGCTTCCAGCACTTACCTCTGGAACAATCTGGACCCTTGTAAGGGTGTCTACAGGCACAGTGGTAATAGGGAGGACTCTGGGTGATGAGACATTCGCCCCGGTCACATGGGTTTTCCTTGCACTTGTTTTGCACTGTAGGAGATCCATAGAGAAGCAAGGGACATGATTTGGGGACACATTTTACTTACTGGGGTACATACGCAGTACAATGTTGGGGGGGTGATGGACAGGGTGTGTGTTCTTGTCTGTGGTCCTGAAATACCATGCTACTTCTCGACAAAAATAAATACATTTTAAAAAATAAATCCTTGGGTCATGGATGATTATATCCCAGTTCCTTCTAAGGCTCATATTCTTTATTATTCTATCTTTATTGTTAAAAGCCTTGATCATTTTTACACCTTCCACAAACAGAGCTATAATTTGAGTTTCTCTACTTTGTGGTTGATTTTATGTTTCATTTAAAATTTTGTCATTCTTTGGAGAAGTTGAGGGATGAACCCAGATGCTATATTAATGCCTGATACCCCAAACCATCCTGACACATTTATTGAAAGACTTGTGGGATTGAAAATGGAAGGAAAGGATGAAGAGCATACAGGGAAAGGAAGACAACCATGAAACCCTATTTAAAGATCCTCACTGCTCACCTCACCCCGGTTAAATGGTTGCTAGATGGAACAGGATCCATGTTCTCTCCAGGGGTGCAATTAGCCCATAAGAGTTCTAGTCTCAGTATCTTATCACATGACTTCGTGTTATACCCACTGAATAGGTCACTGAAGGCAGACATAGTTTTTTTTATCAGAATCTCAGTGAGGATGGAAGGAAGAAAGAGCATGGAGATGGGAGCCAGGCACCAGGGCTCTAATTTCCACTCTTCTCCTAACTAGCTGTGTGTCCATGAGCAGGTCCCTTGGATCTCTGAGCTCCCTTTATCTAACTGACAAAGGGAGCTGGGGCTCACATGCCTTCAGATTCTTTCTGCTCTCTCATTTGAGAACAATATTTCTCCGTTGTAATTAGTTTAAACACTCTAAACAACAAGCCCTGAGTGTAGGCTACACCTTGGTCAGAGTCCAGCTCTTCTCTCCTTTTAGCCTCAGTATTCCCATCTGTAGAATGGGCATACCAGTCCTATCCAATATGCATGAGTGAGAATTCAATGAGATGCTGCTTGTTATCATGCCAGAAGTTCATTATGGATGATACAAAATGTGTATGGTTATACTCCTTTGCATGGAATCATTCAGCCCTTTTTATCGCCTAGAGTTAGAGGAGGAACTGCCTCTTGTTCAACTCAGGGGGAAGAGTGAATCCAGGGGAAGTGCACTCACCATTCTGACATCTGTTTCCAGAGAAAGGGACCGGACAGCTGCACGTGAAGTTTTCCCCGCTGACAAGGCAGTCCCCACCATGTTCACAGGGGTTGGACTGGCACGGATCTACGATACGTGGGCAGAAGTCAAGGATTGCAATGAACAGCAGGTGAGAAGCCCCCTACTTGCTCATCAAATTTCAGCCTCCTGCCCGGAATGAGAGAGTGAATGCACAACCAGGGATGGGGGGAAAGGGGGAACATGAAATGCCCTTAAAGAGCAAGGAAAACTGCAGTCACACGACCAGAAAGAGATTCAGGTTAGTAAGAGGACAGGCGAGAAGGAATCTCATTGAGTTTCTCATTGAGAAACTCCCCTTTCCACCATCAGTGTTTTTCTCCTCCCAGTCTCGCTGGGAGTGCCACGGGGTCTGCCTCTGATGCTGAAGGCATTTCATAAGCCTGAAGACCTCCCCTACTCCCAGTGCCCGGGGGTGGAGGTCAGGAGTGGGGAAAGAAAACCCACCCCTAATGAAACACAAGCTTTCTGAACATCAGGAAAGAAGACCAAAGGCAAGAGGGTGACAGAAGAATTGGCGGCGAGGAGGAAATGACCCAGTGGCCTTCATCTTTCTTCAACTACTTGTTCAGTTAGATTTTGTCATATTTCATCTGTGCCTTTGGCTTTTCATGGTTGTCTGAATGGATCTTCCCTTGGGGAATTCTTTATCCTTCTGTTCACACACATTGTTCTTTGGTTCAGGAACTAGGATCCCTGGGCCCAGCTCTTGTTTTGATGGTCCCTTCTGATGTTCCCCTGATGCCCTGTATCTTGGCCCTGCCTTCTAGGCCACTTCGCACAGTTACACAGTTTTTATTCCAGCTGCTAAGTGCATTCCATTCCTTCTCCTGGCTCAGTCACATGGTTTTGCTTGGGCCCCACTTCTCATTTTTCCTTCTGTCCCATTGCTTGGGTTAAGGAGTCATAAACACAAAAACAAATGTAGAAGCACACTTGTGAGTGCATGCACACACACACACACACGCGCACACACACACACACACACACATCAATTGTGCAAAGCCTCCAAAGAGTGTGAAGAGAAAGAAAAACACAGCACAAATGGAAGGGAAATTTCAATGCCAAATTTGTGAAAGCTACAATCCAATGCTTAATGCTAACCCAGCCTCTTCTGCATAATTAGGACCTACCTGTAATCAAAGCGAGGACGTGATTTTGAATATGAATTTTACTCACAGTGTAGGAGACCCAGATGATGATGCACTAACTTTCTGTGTGACCCTGGCTAAGTCAACTCCACTCCTGGCCTCACCTGCTTCACCTGTCATTTGAGGGTGGGAGAGAGTCTCTAGGAACCTCCCCAGTCCTCCTAGTGTATGATTCTAACTGAAAAAAAAAAAGCCAGTCTAAATCATTTACGCAATACCCATTTGATGATGCCAGTCAGAGAGGAGAGAGGCACTTGCATATAGTCCCATACACACTCTCTTCTAAGATGTGCTGTCCTTCCCCTAGGAGGACCCTCCAAAGAGTGTTGGCACCTACCGTCCTCCGTGTAGTACCAGTCAGGATTCTCTGGGTAGGCAGCAGATCTATTGACGTCCTCTTCTTGGTTGTGATACTCATAACTATCCTCGTAGTAGTCGGGGGTCCAATCTACAGAAGAAACCCTAATCGTTAGACCTAAAGATTCCTAAATCCTGAAGGAGGATCCCTGTGCCTTCCCAGCTCCTCAACTGATGGGGTGGACAGAAGGGGTGAGGTGTTGTAAGTTTTCATTTGGGGTGTGTTATGACCCAGCAAGGCAGTGTTGGCATTTGGCAGGGTCCAAAGCACCTAACTGGAAATGGGGAAAAGTCAAGTTCTTGTTTCCACTGACTATGACTTCAGACAAGCTACGTGTATTTTTTTCGCCCTCGATTTGCTTAGACCTAGAAGGTCTCTAAGGTCCTACGTGCGATGTGCCCTGGGTCAGATCCGGTGGCATCTGAGCACCTCATTGGGCAGTTCTGTGAATAAACTTTCTCCCTGGGCCTTTATTAGTCACCTTAGCTTACGAAGTCAAAGAAATTTGTCACTTCCCTCTTGGTTACAGCATCAAACTACTCTCACTGTATCTATAGAATCATCCTAATAGCTAGTGTTTATTGAGCCTTTACTATGTACTGGGCCCTGTGCTAAGCATTTTACATGGCTAATTTCACGTAACTAAGGATACGCTCCTATCCTTCACATAGGCAGGATACGAACTAGGGCAGTTGATCCCCAGATGACTCCTAAATTGCATCGGCTTGACTGCTGTAACCGGCCTCTTACGCTGCCTTGGTTAATTCACACTTCCCTTGGGAAAGGGGTCCAATCATCGCCATCGCATACCTAGCCTGCTAATTAGGATTTGCCCAAGGACAACCCAGAGAAGATTCCTGTGAAAGACAGGGTGTAGGGCGCTGCCCACAGGTGTCAACCTCACGCCAGGCCAGTCCACTGGGAAGAGCAAGTGTGTGCATAACACTGGGCTCTTTGTCAGCTGGGGAACTTGGAAGATGCTGGTAGCTCTGAGGCTCCCGGAGAGAAGTTTGGGATTTGAAGAAAGTTGGGCTGACTTTGCTCCCTCCGGCTGGCAGGAGTGTGGCAAGCTGAAGCTCTAAGGAAGCTGTCCAGAGATGCATATGGTAATGAGGCGGGAGCAAATGCAGCTAGCGACACTTGCAAAGGCACTCCCACAGAGCCAGCCGGTGGCTCGGAGCGTGGCACTTTACCTAAGCCTGATTATCAACCACATTATCTCCTTCGTCTCTCAGTCATTCCCTTATAGTCTTTATCTCTTTGGCTTTTGAAAAATCGACTTTTGCACAATGGCTGCTTTATATTTCCCATTAAAATGGAACGATCTTTTTATTTCCTTTTTGAATACGCCAACTCTGGTTCCTTGCCAAAGTTTCACCTCATTTATCACAGTGTCAAGTCAAGACTCCCTTTGCTTGCTCATTATTTCTCTCGAGCTGCTTTTCCCCACTATGAAAATGCTCCCAGAGGAGGCCACCTTTCCAGGGATGAGGATCTAGGTTGAAGATAAGGCCATTGTCTTCCTGGAGCAAATAAAGTTTCTTTCCATCTAGCGCGATAAAGCAGAGAAAGAGAGTGAGGAAGAGAGGTGGGGTGGGGGTGGGGGGCCAAAACCCGTTTTTCAGAGTTTGACATGAAAGATTTCAAACTGACATTTGGGAGAGACAATGGGTTGGTAATGAGCTGATTACATCATTTATTTATTTCTATTTTTCTTTAGAGATGTATTTTTGTTTTTCCAACAGGTGTTTATAGATAAGTGCCTTCGGAGTGCTCCTGCAATTTCTCCCATCCCGCCCACAGGTTGAAGGTCAGCCAGGCTAATCTCAGCTAGGCCATTAAGCATCATTCCCTTTGCAGGTATTTGGAAACAGGGAAGGTTTTTACATAAATGGAATCGCGTGACTTTTCTAGGTGGCGGGGGATGGCTGAAATGTCTGCTGGAGGATTTTTACTGGAATCCAGCCTTGTTAACAAGGTCTGCTCAGCTCTCAGTGAAGCTAAAGAGGGAATAAGACACGTAGGCTTTGAGTCATCCTTCTGCTAAACAAGGCAGAAAAGTCGCTGCTCCTCCCTGGGGCCCAGGGTCCTTGGCTAAGGTGGATAGAAGCGACAGAGGCTCAGTGGCCCAAAGTCACCAGAAAGCCAGCCAACTGGAGTTTTGTGCAAGGAAGAGAACCAAGATCCTTTACATTTGGGGGTGCCTGCCCCATGTTTTCAGAGTGTTTATAGAAGCATCGCCTGGCGGGGTTTCTCCACTTCAATAGACTTAAAGTCTACTTTGTCTTCTCTACGCTATTGGCACTTAATCCCATTGTCTACCTGACAAGGGAGTTGTGTACCTTCAATGGGCCAAGTACTACAGCAGGTTCAGGAAGGCACTTGGAATAATGGAGAGGTCCACGTAAAAGAGTGGGATGTGGCCTCCAGTCACAGGAGCTTCCAGTCCAGGCTGAGTGGGGGAAGAAAGCTGGTCAAGAAAGGAGATGAAGGGGTAGCAGAGAGGTAGGGGAGCCAGATGTGGCCAAGTCTAGGTCAGAGAGCTTCAAGTCCCACATAGGCACTTTGGTGAAGTATGAGCCCATCTAATGGGGGGAGAGGACCCCAACTCGCCACCCATCCCTGTAGCCACATCTTTTACAGTATGACTTTACAGATCCTCCTACCAAAATATTGGAGTTCATCTCCCTGCCCCTTGGGTCTGCACTGGCCTTGGGACTTGCTTTGACCAATAGCATGTGGTGGAAGGACAGTGTGCCAGCTCCAAGCCTGGGTCTCAAGCAGTCTTGTGCACTTCCTCTCTTTCTCTTTCTCTCTCTTTCAGACCCCTGCGTCTGCCATGTGAATGACTCTGGGCTATTCTGTGGAGGATAAGAGAATGTGTGGGGCAGCAGGAGGCCCAGCAGTTTCAGTCAAGGCTTCAGACATATGAGAACCCAGCCGATCGATCAGCTGACTGCAGACATACCAGGAGGCCCAGCCAACATCAGCTGAGCCTGATCCAGACCAGAGGAACTGCCTAGGTGGACCCAGTCTAAATTGCCAACACACGGGTAGCCCGGGTGGCTCAGCGGTTTAGCGCCACCTTCAGCCTGGGGTGTGATCCTGGAGACCCGGGATCGGGTCCCATGTCGCTTCTCCCTCTGCCTGTGTCTCTGCCCCCGCCCCCGTCTCTCTGTGTGTGTAAACAAACAAATAAATAAATAGGCAATCCAAAGAATTGAGACATTATTCTTATTCTAACAAGAATAGTAATCGTTGAAGCCACTAAGTTTAGGGTAGTATATTCTGCAGTAATAATGAATGAACCCAGAGGGCTTGATTGCTTTTGGGCTGCCCGTAGGATATGAAGTTGAGATACTCCGCATTCTTCGGTGGCCCAGAAGGCTGTAGAGTGCCAGGTTTCAATGCTGGAGCTCAGATGGCACCTCTGTCTTGTGGTTTATTATTCAACTTTGTCCATCTGATTATTTCCTCCACCTAGATAGTTGGTGTCTTATGAGCAAGGGCCACGTCTATTCCTCTTTGTAACCCCTAGCACCCAGCACCGAGCCCTCTACGCAGTTAATGCATGCGCTTGGCACGTGAGGTTTTCCCTCTGTTGTGGGCCTTCTCATCCTTCTGATTGGCCAGCAAAGTTAGTATCTGCTTGGAGCAGAGGAGACAGGAGAATTTAGGAGAGAAACTGATGAAGAAAATGCCTAAGGAGCTCTGTAGGAGTCTAGAAATGTATCCAAGTGCTTTCCTGCACAGAGAGGGATTACAGCCTGGCATAGAATTTGCTTCCATTGCTGGATTGTAGGATAACACTCTAGGTCCAAATACAGATTATTGGAGACTTTCTCTGGGCTATAGAAAAGGAGAATGCTTTGGGTGAAGAATGGGAGCAGCTGTCAGAAGCATTTTATATTAGGTATAAAGAGAAATCCTTGTGGAATTGTCTATTTATGAGAGTCTGTTTCTAGAACTTATCAGGAAGGATGGGGAGGCTATCCTGAACTCCCTCAAATCATCCCAGTAACTGGCTATTATCTATTGAGTATTTTCTATGTATTGGACACTATACTAAATAAATATGGTTGCACATAGAGAAACCCCGTGGCGTAGGTATTATTCCTATTTGACAGAAGTGCGGGAAAACGAGAGCAGGAGGAGGTGCCATCAGAACCCAGGCCGACCTAACTCCAAGTCTGGTTTGCTTTCCTACCAGCCCGGGAGGCTCTTGTGGGTTCGTGTTTTGTGAAACTTCATGGGTTTTAGCTTCCAGGAAGTAATACACATCGAGAAATCTTTTTTTACCACATGCTCCAAGTCCCTCAACTGAGATTACTGTGGTCTGGTACCCAGGGTCTCTCGGAAAAAGCTCAGAGTTTGTGTGATGGGGGCTCTGCATCTGCTCTGGTTAAGGAGCTTGCCAGATGTGCGGAACGGAATAAAAATCTCTGGAATGCTATCCCTGTTGGCGTCATCCATCACCGTGGCACAGACGGTTCCTCCGAGGGCCTCCCCCAAACCCCAGCCCTGTTGGCCTGTATTTGACGCTTCCAATCCAGCTGACAGGGCAAGCCCAGCGGAGACCCTCACTGGCAGGCGGCAGGACAGCTGATGGATGGGCTCAGCTTGTGTTGCTGGGCAGAGCCAAGCCAGCTTTGAAGAGGCATTTCCGCAGGCCCGTTGGCTGTCACGGCACCTGCTTTGGGGAGATGAGCAGTCTGTGCCGTTTGATGGCCACTTCCTCTGCCACCCATTGGGGACTGTGGCCTGGGCACCTTCTGCTCCAGCAAAACCCTTGCCACGCACAGTGTCCAGCAAGACCAACTACAGAAGCAGCTTGCCTGTGGACATGAGCATGGTGTTTCTTGGCCACACTGCTTTCTAAAGCCAGCTGGGATCTGACAAATTCCATCAAAGCACAACCCCCATGTGAAATTAAAGCAGACACTAACAGGGGGCATTTTGAAAACCTAACCTGCTCTTTGCAGAAAGGCCCAGCTACTACATCTCACCCTGCTCCACAGCCAGAGGTTGACCAAACACCTTGAGATGGACTGGGAGCCCAGGGATGGTGTGCTCCAGGGTCCCTTCATCTACTCACCAAACTGGAAGAAGCTATTGGCAGAGTTCTTCTAGAGCCTAGAATTTCAGAATGTTAAAATCCAACACCCTCCACTCCCTACTAACTGGTTTTTCAGCCTGGGTTTAAATACCGCAAGTGATGGAGAACTTACTACCTCCTGGGAGCCCAATGGCACATTCAGATTTTTGGACAACTCTGATGGTTAGGAAGTTCTGTTTGCAGACCAAATCTGATCCCATGGCTTCTCATCTATTTAAATAAAGCTAAAAACTTTATGAACACATAGAGTGAATATTCCCTTTTCTGTGATTCATGTTTGGTAGGGCCACCGCTTACAGTTCAAGTTGCTCACTGCACACAGTCCCAGGCTGTCATAAACTCATGGTCACTGTAGATGTCTTCTGCAATTTTCTGGAAGATAGGCATACAGTGTCTTGAGGTAAAGACACCTCTCTTAATTCTCACAAAGTTGACCTCATGGACTAGGGGTGGGTCTGCTTTTCAAATTCTTGAAGAGAGTGAGGTCTTGGGACTCTTCTATGCTCCTCGTCCACTGTGTGACCTCACAATTCTGGAGCTCCTTCTCTCTGACACTGAGGCCAAAGATGCTCCTTCAGTGGTGCCTGAGTAGTGTGAGCTGAAGGACAGGGAAGGGGCAGCTCTTCCCACCTCTTGGCTTTGGACCCTCACTGGACTCCAGATGCGGATGCTGATGTGACTAGCCCTCTAGAACACGATCCCTCAAAGGAACTAAATTATGTGTTGTCAAATAGAACAGTCTCCTTTGTTTTGGGGAAAGACATAGACCTTCTCAAAACCCACACACCATGCTCGATTCCACAAACACTCCCTGAACATAAGGGGTGGACAAAGATCAGACATCATTTGCATTGAGCCAGCACAAGTCTGTCTGCCCATTCAGGGCTTTGCTGCTGGAGAATACCGACTGTCAAGTGGATTTTAACCCAGTTGTCCTCACCCGTGCTCCAAATAAGCCCTCGATCCAAGGTTTAGATGTGACTGCCATCTGCATGTTCTGTCTCCCTGGCTCCTGTCCTCCATGGGTGGCCTGCATAGTTACTACCAGTGGGAGATGCCAGCCTCTGCCCTGATGGGGTTGTGTATAGGTTTCTCCCTTGGGTCTCAGAGCAGCACAGGGAGACATGAGCCCAGAGTCAGAGACCAAGATTGGATGATGGCAGGAGGAGCAGCCCTGCTTGGCTCAGGCACAGCTGAGGGTTCTGGGCAGAGGGGTGGTGTCGGGGGTGGAGCTGATAGGAGGCCACCACAGGGGTGAGTCAGCCTGGGGACTGCCTGCATGGCACAGCGTGGACCAGGCTCCCCATCCCAGGGGTAGAGTGAGTGGGGGCCAAGGGCTGGCCTGCCTGGAGCCAGTGATTGCCCAGTGCCACCCTCGCTTTGAATTGGACTTTTCGTCTTATCTCATCAATATGTGACCTGTAGCCTCCCCTCCCAGGGTCTCAGTTCCCTTCTCAGTAAAATGAAAGGATTTAACTATATCATCAATTTTCCCCTTGGGGTCTTGAGATGGGGAACCAGGGGCATCCACGGGCAACTCAAGATTTAGTAGAGCAGTGTGTACATGCACGGAGGGACAAACATGGGGAGTGCGTTTTTCTGGAAAAATTCTCGAAAGGGATCCTACAACACTTCTGAACCATATGAACCTGGAGCTTGTGCCAACACTTACACACGTGGGTCACTTTTCCTCTGTCCCAGAACCACCCTGTAGTTTGTGAGGAGCCCCAGGGCGGTCCACAACTCACCTGGGTCTGGGTCTATGAGTAAAGACATCAGGGAGAACTGAAAAAACAAAAACACAAACAAACCAACACAGAGCTGAGCAAGGTTGAGTCAGCTGACTGGCTGGGCGGCTCCCTGAGCTCCTGCAAGCCAAGAGGAACATCTCCCAGGGTCACAGGTAAGGATCAGGAGCGCTGGGTGCTCTGGGCTGGCTGTAGCTGGGATGGGCTGGAAGGTGGGGCCTATTTGAAGATGCCCCTTTTTTCCTGTGCGTCCTCCTTGGTACAGACTTGTGGCGCTTGTGCTTACCTGTTCTCATGCTGGGGCGTGCGTGGCTGTCCAGGTACAGACAATCTCATCAGTGATAGTGATTAGCATATATTGAGCATCTCCTGTCTGCCTGCTTGTGCGTTGCCGCATTTCATTCTTATAAGAGTCCTATGAGGAGGCTTTTATTAGCCCATTTACAGGTGAGAAAATTGAGGCTTAGAGGTCACACAGTTATGATAGGATTTGGATTCAGACTCAAGTCCAGGTGATTCCCTTGGTGACAGCTCCTTAGGCTGGGGATGGACAGATGCTTAAAACTCTCCAGAGGCCTCCCATTGTTCTTGGAATAAAATGCAAGCACCCGCTGCGATCTATAAACCCCCTCACACACCCTTTCCTTCCACAGCCCTTTACTAATCTCCAGCCACACCTGGGTTCCAACTGGTGCCAGCTAAGCTCCTCTCACCTCAGGGCCTTTGCTCTTGCTCTTCCTTCTGCCTAGAAAGCTGTCTCCCATGACCACCACTAGGTCCCGCGACATCGGCTTAAATGTCATCTTCTCAAGGAGGCCTTCCCCAACTCCCCTATGGGTGTGACTCCCTCCCCCATTGTTTTGTCACTTTATCCGTTCATTTCCTCCACAGTTCTTATTGCAACATGTACTTTACAGTTGTTTATCTGCATATTATCTGTTTCTCACATCGACTCTGTCCTCCAGAAAGGCAAAGATCTTGTCTGTGTCATCACCAATGTGTTACCCCATACTGAGTGTAGTGCTCGGCACGTGACACTGCTCAAAGAGTTTTTGCTGAATCAATAAATAGCGTGTTGAACAGTTCCTTTTAGAACGCAATACTTACGGGAAAAAGAAAGCCTTAGTCATTTAATAGCTGGAATATTTGCTTTTACTTAATCCGAGGGTCAGCAAACTAAGGCTTTTGGGGGCCAAACCTGGAAGTATGGTTTTACAAATCAAATTTGATTGGGACACAACCATGCCCGTTTCTCAGGATCGTCTGACATTCCTTTTGTGCTATGCCGGCAAAGTAGTTGTGATGAAGACCAAACAGCCCCAAATATTTCCTATCTGGCACTTTACAAAGTTTGCTGACCTCCGATTTGGAAAAGGAGGGTTCTGATCGTTGACAGGTCTCCCTCTGGGTCTTGGCCACCAAAAAGCTGTGGTCAGTGTGGTCATTTTCCCAGGGCCCTCATCAACCTTCCCCTCCCTCCAGCAGAAGTTCTGATTCTTTAGGCCTCCTTAGCCATTTTGGGAACCAGGCAGAGGATAAATTAGAAAAGACAGGTAAAAAAAGGAACGCATCCAGACAGGATGTACTTAGCGCACAACAAGTGGGCTTCTTGACAAAAATGCTTCTCCTGCGTCTACTCATGAGGGACCCGACAAGTGGGTTGCGGACATTCAACCAAACACCTAGCCTCGACCCTACAAAACAGAGTCACGAAAGACAAAGAGGATGGGAAGGCTGTTCTTTATGAAATGAGAAGAGAGAGGCATGACAACCAAATGAAGTGAGTGATCCTTGATTTAAAAAAAAAAAGCTATAAAGGACATTATGGGGCACTTGGGAAACATATTAGAAAATATTGCTTCGATGTGGAATTTCTTGAGAATTATAATGGTATTGTGAATAGATCTATGTGTATATTCAGTGAATTATTCTTTCCCCTTTTCTGTAGATCTGACAAATTCTACCATAAGCGGTTGGGGAGGGCGCAGGGTGCAGAGGGGAAGAGGGGCTGTTTGCTGTCTGGACTCAGCCCGTACCTGTTTAATTGCCTCACAGTTGCCAGGCCTGGTTTCTGCAAAGAATGAGCAGAAAGGTGGGTGTTTTGTCTGGGGAGGGGGTTGATAGTGGGGGGCCTGACAGAGGAAGGGCAAGTTCAGGTCTCAAGGGTGTTCCTGGGTCTGGGGGCTTGAATGGGAGCATCCAAAGTTGACCCCTCCAGGCTTGAGCGCCAGGGCAGAGCCAAAGTTGGGGCAGGAGACAGCCCCAGGTGCGATTGTCACCCCTCCTGCTGACTCTGCCTTGATCCCGTCCTTTACCCTGCCTCAGCTTCCCCCCATGGAGCTTGTCTGGAGGGCAGGGCCTGTCCCCCTCTCCCCGTATTTGCCCAGCCGAGAGGAGGGACCCACTGATTTCTCCTATTTGAACGGAATTCCTGGCCACTGCCTGCCCCGAGAAGTGGGCAGGACAGGAGAGAGGACATCGAGGATCAAACTTCCTCCAGGCCCCGTGGGGGAGAGGCTCTGTGACACCTGTGCGGGGGGGGGGGGGGGGGCGGGGGCAGAGCCCCGCATCTCTGTTCCCACCTGGACGCGAGGGCGGGCCAGGTGCTGCGCCGCCCACAGCCAGCAGGTGGCAGACGTGCCCTTCCCAGGAGCGGGAGTGGAGCTGCGGGGGAAACGCACCAAAAAGCAAGCTGGACCTTTGGAGGGGAGCGAGCGCTGGGCGCCCTGTGGATCCCACCGGTTCTGGGGGAGGCTGAAGCAGCTGTGCAGCCTGGGTTGCGTGTCAGCAGCTCCCAGGGATCTGCAACAGGACAGCTCATTTTGTGAACCCCCGGGGCCGTGGGCAGGGAGGCTGCAGGGAGAAGTGGAGAGGGTCACCTGAGCGCAGGCCAGCTATCTGGGAAACCTGTGGGGAAGTCCAGGCCAACAGCCAGTTACTCATGCCATCTGTCTGGATCCTGAGACTAACCCGGGTGATGCGGCCCAGGGGATGGGGAGGCACCATACCTGCACTATCTGCCTCCTTTCATCCCATTGTGGCATTCAGTTTTTCCACGTGACCGGGAAATGATAGAACTCCTACTCCTGGGACTTGCAAATCCCAGGAGGAAGACCCCTAAAGCTAAAGAAAATGAAAGAGGAAGAGGAGGAGATGACTGTGGTCTCACTTGACCTGTACTAAGAGCTGACAGTGTGCCGAGGGCTGTGCTAAAGGTCGTATATGCGTTTGGTCTCGTTCATCGTACACGATGCTTGATCCTTGAGGTCCTACAATTATGTCCGTTTTAGAGGCGAGCAAACAGATTCGCAGAGATTAAGTTGCCCAAAGTAATTCCACTGGTAAAGCCAGGATGGAATGGGGCCAGCCTTCCACCAGAGTCCTTGGTCTTAACCTCCGTTACTATGAGGGATGAGGGAAGCATGGCAGGTATATATTGGAATGGAAGGATGGAGAAGGAAACAGAAGAGCTACCTAATTCTAAGAGAGGCAGAGCGTTGAGCTGGGTTCTCAGATCAGATCTCTGTCCTTGGTAAGCTTTATGAAAGGCCTGTCCAGGCTGGCCCAGGCCTGGCAGGACACAGAGAGGGCTACTGGGCACCAGTGACAGCTGTGGAAGGTACAAAAGTCAGCTCAAGCCTCGGGCAGTCCACTCTGGCTAAAGCATCTCAACACACAACTTCACCCAGATCAAGGGGGCAAACCAGCCACTGCCTGCTTCTTCCACCATTTCTGTTCCTTGTCTCAACAGGGCTAAAATAGCAGCTTCTAGTATCTTCTAGTATCTTTCAGGTCAGGGCTGATTAGTGGGAAAGACAGAGAGGGCAGACAGAAGGATATTGTCTCTGGGTCTTACTGATTTAGCCTGTAAGTCTCCTTGGGGCTGAAGAGCGTTGAAGTCTAATCTTTTCTGTCCTATCTTTAATCTAGTTTAATCTTTTTCTAGATTATTTCAATTCTGATGCTTCCCCTACCTTTCAGAATTCTCGATCTTCCGGAAAACAAGCGAAAAGGCAGAGGCTAGAACTCTGAGTTGATGACTCCCAGGACTGGGAAGCAGAAGAGGGGAGATGTGGACCTAGACCCATCCTTTGGGGCCAGAAGCTTGGATTAACATGAAGCAACAACAGCAAAACCTTTCACCTATTGGGTAAAACATTAGGACTCTAATCCCCCCATGCCTTCCCCCTTGGATGGTCTACTATGACCTGGTGGTAGATCATGGTGGGGGAATTGCATTACTCCCAAGGGCAGCTGGTGGGCGCTAACTGTAAACCACGGCCAGGAGAAGCTGCAGCCACTGGGCTGGAAGGCGGGCCCGAGACAAGAGTGCACGGTTCAGCAGGCCAGTCCTCACTGTTGGACAGAGAGCTCAAGGTCAGGGTGAGAGGTGGCAGTGACAGAGGTGGTCAGTGTTCTCGTCACTAGCCAAGTATTGCCCCATACCATCACCCCCCCCCCTTCCGCCCACTCTGGCTCCTGCTCCAGACAAACTATGTGATGAAATTAACAGTCGTCCAAAGCCACTTCGTCCTTTTCAAAAAATACATATAACACAATAGTTTTTAATGTTAACCCCTTGTAAGGGGACCATTCAGTAGCATTAGTTACATTCACGTTGTTGTGTAACCGTCTCCACCATCTTCACCCAAGACTTTCTCATCATCCCCAACAGAAAGTCTGTGGTCATTAGACAATAACCCTTTTGTCCCTTCCATAGCCAGTACCTGAGTAACTGTATTCTCTGTTCTGTCTCTCGATTCGCCTATTCTAGGTACTTTACATGTGTGGAAGCACAAAGTTTGTCCTTCTGGGACTGGATTTATTTCACTAGGCATAGTGTTCTTAAGGTTTATCCGTGTCGGTAGCATATATCAAAATTTCATTTCTTTGAAGGCTGAGTACTATGCATTGTATATCCATTTTGTTTATCCCTTGGTGTGTTGAGGGACACTTGGCTTGTTTACATCCTTGGCTCTTGTGAATAAGCTGCTGTGAACGTCGGTGTACAAATATTTTCCAGTCCCTGCTTTCCAT